CAAGGTCCTCAAGTCGCTAGCCGGCAGTACTTGGGGCAAAGACAAAGAAACGTTGCTGGCAACATACAAGGCAATAGGCCGGCCGGTTTTGAACTACGCAGCGCCAGTGTGGTCGCCTGGGACTAGTAGGACGCAGTGGACGAAGCTACAGACCGCACAAAACACCGCACTGAGGACAGCGACGGGATGCCTCTTGATGACGCCTGAACACCACCTGCACGGCGAGGCGCAAATGCTCCCGGTAAAGGAGCACAATATAATGCTCTGCAAGCAGTTCCTGATCGGGAGCCACAGAAGTGGCCACCCGAGCAGACAGCTGCTTGCAGAGGAGCCCTCGCCTAGGCACGTCAGGAGGCATCTATATGAACTAACGGACGAAGTCCAGAGGTTCATTAAGCAACCTCTGGACCCGACAGCCTACAGACAGGCCTTGAACGGCATTCACAGGGACTCAGTCTCGAGTTATGTAGACTCTAGACCTGTGAATGCCGTTCTAGGCACACCACCCCCGGACATTGACGAGACGGAGCTTCATCTGCCTCGGGAGACGCGCACTACACTTGCACAACTTCGCTCCGGCTACTGCAGCAGGTTAAACTCCTACTTGAGTAGGCTGAATGAGGATGTGCCGAACGAATGTCCGGCATGCGGAGAGACCCCACATGACTCGAAACATCTCTTCGCATGCCCGGCAAACCCGACATCCCTAACGACCTTGTCCTTATGGGCAAACCCCGCAGAAGCTGCACGCTTCCTAGGGTTGCCGTTAGTGGAACTTGACGACAACGACTGAGATACCAACCGATCTGGGCGGGGTTGTTGTAGCCGCTACAACAACAACAACAACAAAGCGACAAACACACCCCGCTATTTCAAGGATCAACGCGATGCAAGCACATTTCGCTTTACCTCCATTGCTCCATCCAGCCGCAATAAGGTTCGTTTGAACTTACACCAGACACAGTGACGTAAAATGGGAAGCATGCTTCGCAAAACATCTTCCGAATGAAATGAAGGTAAGCAAAAAAAGCTTAAGAAATATAGGAAAATGTTTACGATTTTGATTCGGGTTGATTTGGGTACAGCAAATCAAAATCATTGTACAAATAACTAAACCGTACCCGAAATGTAATTTTTCAACTACATCCTTTATTTACTGTTTTTTTAATTATAGGATGCAACCGGCAAGGATACTACAGTTTCTAATTCGGTTTCTATATTCCCAGCAGAGACCTACGTTCACAACGCCATCAACTCCAGAATCGGCTCCAAATAATGCAATCGCTTTACAGTGCATGAATGCAGCAGAAGCCATTACTTTTAACCTAATCCTAATGTGACGCAATGTTAAAGAGCCCCCACATGCAATTTAATTTAAAAAAATTCTGCAAAATCGATGACAATTAATGCCATTTGATTAAACTCCCTTCTTTTTTTATCGAAATATGCATTACATATAGAGTTTAATAAAGGCATTAATTGCCATCGATTTTGCAGAAATTGTTTTAAATTAAAATGCATAAAAATTACATATTTCTTTTAGTTATAAATTCTTTAAAAAAAATTAAATTTTTTTACCATAATTTCTGTTTTGTGTACGGCCTTGTGCGAGTGCAGAATACATGTACGCAATTCACAAAGTTGTAAGCCAAGGCTTTTTTTTTGGTAAATGGTTAAAAATTCTTGTTGTTAATGCTAATTACAGTAAAGGTAGTCCTATTATTTTTCTTCTAGATATAAATTATTTTAAATAAATTCACTTTTGTTATAAAAATTTTAAAGTGTTGTGTACTGCCATATGCGACTGAAAAATACAAAGTTGTTAGCCAAGACTTGTTTAACACAAAATTTTTGAGAATCATGAATGGTTACACATATTAAAATAAAGGAAATTTAATTACCTTTCAGTTGGTCATAAATTCTTTTAAAAAAAGAAACTTTTTTTGTAAAAATTTTGAAGTTTTGTATACTGCATACAATGGTACCCGCAAGGGATGAGTCGAGACTAATTGATCCCCATTAGTACCCGTATGAGCCTAGTTGCGACTAATTAATGCCCAATTGTACCCGATTGAGACTCATCCCGGAATACTCTCTTTAGAGATTAGTCGCACAATTTTTTGCAGGGTATGTATATATTATATATATACTACTAGCCGGCCACGGATGCACGAGGCTTCGCCACGCGCTGAATGTATTCATATGATGTACATTTACATATTTGGAGAAAGAAATCATATGTCATCATGTACTTCGTTTATTATATACATAAAAAATTTTGTATAAATCCGTTCAGTAGCGTGGTTAGATTATCTCGCCTTTCCCTTTTACTATGTATAGAAGATCGTAATTTTAAATAGGTAGCCACCCTACTCCAAAAACTTAAAGTTTTTGTACATGCGAAGGCCACGCACTTTCATTTGGTAACTCAATTTTTTCCAACGAAAGGTGAAGATTTTACAGTTTTTAAACACGTGGCAGCCCTACTCAGAAAAACAATACATTGGGTAGGTTCAGAAGTCGCAGCAGTTGAGCGCTACCGTTGCTAAAAAATCAGTGATCGTTATGCATCTTCTGAACGGCTTGATACATTAGCTGTCAAATTCAACTCTCAGAGGTACACACCAACATGTTGTCTCAAATGATCAGAAAAATATTACGATCATATAATACGCAACTGTTCAGTTGATCAGAAGTACACAACATCGCGTTCAGAAGGTGCAATCGCAACAGTTACTGAGCTGTTGCGTCTTCTGAACGTGCCCATTATTAAACATCCAGAGGCTACGTATTTTCACAGTAACGGTGCAGAACTGACGCCTACGCTTATTAGAATGAAATGGTGACTCTCCTATCGATACAAAATATATTAGAGAAAATGTCGTCA